GTGATGGCTTTGATAGTGATCTGAATTTCTCCTTTTCCTCACGTAACCATAATTCTTGCCATCAGCGAGATATCGCGTTGTTGTAATTCGCGTCGTATAAATGAAATCTCATGTTTGTTCACAGTACTGAGTAGATCCTCTCGCATGTTTCCTCTTACGGTCAACTATCATATAATGGCGAATTTCATTTCAGTTAATTGATCTGAGATGGCATGTCTTCGTTTTTGATTATTCTGTGCTGTGTCGCCAGTGTCTGCACTAGCCAACCTGATCTCAAAGCGAATTTGGTGGCCGGTCACTCGCGAAAGACGTTTCGACCAGCAGCACATGACGATGCACTCGCTGCGATCCTTGCCGACATACAACAGGTACTGCCATCATTTACACCTTGTAGTGATTTGGCCTTTGAAAACCACTGAACTCAAATACCGCCAAAAAGCTCCATGGAAGTTTCTTCAGCGTTGTACATAAAAATATCAGAAACAAAATATTAGGTTGCCCCTCGAGTAGTGTCGTTTTTTTCGAAGGTGAGAATACAAGTATAAACGACTGGATAGACAAGTTCCGGTTTCTATTGTGCAGACATTTAGGCTACCTGTATCTTGAGTGGCAGAATAACAACAGGCTGCAACCCCCCCCCCCTCCTCCCACAACCTTGTAAGATTGTCCCACAAGTGATGTCGTCTTTACTTAGAATGGAAATGTTCAATGCTTTTACATCATCTCTTATAGCTTTCTGAAGAAAATTACCTGCTCAATAGCATGGCTCCTTCCCACGTAGCAGAAATTTTGAATTTCAAGCAACGCAAATAGGAGATCCAGTCGAAGAACATCAACCAAACGAGCAATTGACTGTAACCCTGTTTTGTTCTCAAAGAAAAAGCTCTAGTTGTATATCGCATTCCGCGACTGGGTAGTCCAACAAGTTGTAGCGTTTTTTTTCCAACTGGTTCTTCCACCAGAACTCAATATTCCGTTAATATCTCGTGTATCTAGACCAAAAAGTTTTACCGCCGAGGCGATGCAAAATCTTCAGAGCATCTAGAAGTCATGACTAAGTTCGAGATGCTTATTCTTTGCCTTAGCGTTAATCCCATGCAGTCGCAGGATCCGCTGCCGTTATCAGGCGCGCCACCTGATATGGCATCTCCTGTTGTCTCTTCACGTATTTAGGTCTTCTTGATGACGTCCTCCACCTCTTCTTTGGGGCTCCTCGCGGTCGCTTGCCTTGCGCTTCGAAGTCCATCGCTGTTCTTATCGGGTGATCCTGTGGCCTCCTTAGCACATGCCCATACCATCGCAGTCGTTCCCCTCACCTTCAGCTGGACAGGGGCAGTCTGCATGACCGCTCTGACATCCTCGTTTCTGACCTGTCCAGTCGCGTCCAGCCGCCGGCACCATCGTATAAGCAAAAATCCGGTGTGCGAGTACGTGGCGCATGTTAAGTACGGTACCCTCGATTCCGGCACCTAACGAAAAGTGCGACGCGATCCGGCGCTTGGTTCAACCCCGATAGCGCGCGCCTAAAGACAGAGCAAATTAATTCAAATTAATTAATCAAAATAAATCCTGCAAAATAAATCAAAAAAATCCTGCAAAATAATGTTATGGACGCCTCATCTTGTCATCTATGCACTGTCTTTCATCGCTGCACACTTTTGTGTATTTACTGAAATATCGACTCGAGGAAAGAGGCATTAACTTTGTGTGACCTCAAAGTCAGGTTCGTTCAGAAATGCACAGAAATCCTGAAGGCACGGGTTGCGATTTAACCTTAATTTCTTTAATTCTTCTGCTTGAGTCATCATCAGACGAACCAGTCCGAGTGTTAATCAATTCAACACCCGGTGAGTTCGGCGCCGATTCGAACCGGCAGCTGCGGCGCGATTGTCACTGGGTCAGATTTGCTGAAATCCCGAAAAAAAAAACCGTCGAAATCTACACCCTCGATGAAAAGGTTGCATTCCTCCATTTCATAACCTTTGAAGCAGTTTGAGGTAGGGTTAGATAGAGCTGGATTTCGCGTTTCCAAGAAGTATTGAAATTGCTCTGAAAGTCCTTCCCGTTGCCATGAAGAGAATGATGGCCGTTCATCACCACCAAATTTTGTCGAGTAAACGTCGAGGACGCTGAAATTTTTGCGTGAGTTTTTGCCACTTCAAAAGCAATATCTCGCTAATGCCGCAAGGTCCTGAAAAAGGGAAGACAGTTTTGGAAAGCGAAAGGTTTGCGCTTCTGATGGTCTTTTAGCTTTCTTCTACATTCCCTAGTTGAGAAGATATCTGCGTCGAGTATGTATCGAGGACGGATCCGGCCACCTGAAAATATCGCCGCTCCCATCCTTCGCATCTTATTGCAAGTGGTGATTCGTGGCAAGCCGACTCGAATTGTGTCCTAAACAAAATGCTTTCATGGCTTGCAGGAGCAAGTCAAGTAATTAGTGGGCGGGGCCAATGCGGTCCATCTAGGTCGCGAGTGTGGTCGTGTATGTGGTTGTCGAGGCCCATGTGAGTATAGGCCATGCATCCGTGCTTCCACTCACAGTTGCAGAATCGATTCGAAGGTGTCATATGATCATGACCAGTTGACAGAAGCTGCATTGTAGTAAACGCATTTCGTAACTCCTACAACCTAAAGAACAACTTCATTTGCCCAGGGCTTTTCCTTCACGGTTGTCGTTTTTGCGACAGGGTCCCTAACAACAGTGTCATTCTCAGCGAGGTATTAAGGGAGAAGGAGCGAGCGATAGGCAGAGGAGGTGCCTTTGCAGCGCGTGCGCACATGTGGCAGTCTTCTTTGCGGGGATGCACTTTCATTCTTTGTACTGCCTTCAAATACGCCCTTCTCATGAAGGTGGAGGAATGGAGCGACTGAACCTGCAAAGAAAATTTAATATCATGTTTTTTCAGATATTTTCATTTTCTGCTGCGCTATACCCTCTTACCCTCTTACCTTATCTGCACCATGATACCACTGCTCTTTACGGGGACGAAACGCCAAGAGAGACGACCTCCCTCATCGACCTACCCTGGCCCTAACAGGTCGAAACCCCCCCTGTCGAGATTTTCCCTCACCGATATTCACCCTGGCTGCAACGGCCTTTTGAAAAATCCTTTTTCACACTTCCAGTGAAAGCCGACTAAGTTTGAGAAGCACGCTGATCAAGTTAATTCAATTTTTTCGAGAGAATGCTTTGTTTTTTTTTTCAATAATCTTACGGCCATTCTCGGCTGGCGACACCTTGTATGACTGGCATAACATAACCCAAATCTATAACGAAAGCTGACAGAAGTGAATATGACAGAAACAATAGCCTAACATTGTGTTCAGTTACTATCAGGGTCTGGTCAACGAAAGGAGACGCTTGCGTCATGGGACTCATCCAATTAGCTTTAAACGTCGCACGAGGTTGTCGATTTCTAAGGCTGCTGTGGTCGATGGAAACCTTCTCAAAATGTTTCTTCATACGCAGATAGAAGCTTAGACTCGCTGCCCTCATCGTCTTCAAGATACGACGTCATCTGCAATCACTGTGAAGCTCTCAGGGAAAAAATAAGAAACCATCCGTAACTTGCTTCAGCCTGAGCTACGTACTTGGTTACTCCAGTTGGTTAGATGACCGTTATATTCCTAGAGGCAGTGGCTCTGTATGCAAAACCTCTCCCGGCCAGTGCTTCAAATGACGTCGTAATGGTCCGTGATCCGTCGAGGACCACGTTTAGCTCGGATCCTGATTAACGTCTCTATGACAAATCCTTCTGATGTCGTCTATGTGGAACGCTATCATGAAGTCTGCTGATAGAATGGAATTTGCTCTACAATAATCTGTTGGAAGCGTTCGGTTTAAATTTAGCAAAGTGTGACTAGTGATGTCACACTTTGCTAAATGAGTTTGTAAGTGACGTAAAGTGTCTCCTTTTTTGGCCCAATTAGTGTGAAAACATGGCACTCCAGAGGGAAACTTCACTACGAGAACCGCTATGCCTCAGCAGCCAATCCTTCAAGAGCAGGGTGAAATCAGTCAAATTCCCTTGCACATATTATTCCCTTTACCCGAATTGTTCCCGTCATATGAAAACCAACTACACTCTTTCAATTTCATTGCGTATCCCCTTCTTTTCTGACCTCACACATCCACGCATTAGGACTAATTAATTCAAAGTATAACCTCCACGTCAAGCTTTCTTGGGATTACCTTGATGGCTTGCTTTGCTACCAGTCTTGCTAAGACGCGATTTATTCTTGGGGATATGGTCATACCTATTGCGACCGACACTCGGGGGGACCGTGATCCTCCTGCTTATAAATATGTATCCATGGCGCGCGTCATCGAAGGATCAGGGTACATGACAGGAGGTCCGTCGTGCGACGAGAAGGCAGAGACACAGACGGGTCGACGGATGAGTCGCTGCGCATATTGTGCGATGTGGGACATAATATAGTACACTCTTCTCAAGCCGCCGCTTTGTGACGCTGAATCGTTATAGCACGCGCTGCGGCTCGTCCGCTGACAGGTCTGCGTCTCTGCCCTCTCACCACGCGACGAGCCTCCTGTCGGGTACCTAAAAAATCTGAACGGTGGTGCTAGCCTGTACCTTGGCCAAAGAACACTCCGCTCGGCGTCTTCCTCGTTGTAAACTGAACCCTTCCTATTTTCACTAAAAAAATTTTTCAAGTATTAGGAATCCTTGTAAGGTAATCAATATCAAAGACTAGAGTTCACTGTTCAAGTGCACATTGATTCATACGATTACAGCCAAAGCCAATCGACAAGGGAGAGGTGGACGAACCACTGCAGAAATTCACAAACAACTTTATGGCGTCCGCCAGAGAGCAATTGGAAGACGGGTTGGTAGAACTTCAATTTCTGTTGAATTTCTCAAGAACCAGAATTACTACGAATTAGAATTGCAGAACCCTACGTTAGGGTCTTGTCTTTGCTTGTTCCCTTAACCTGTTGAAATGTAGAAAACCAGTATTGCTCCTGTGCAATCGCGCACTGTCTGTTAAGTTACTGCTTATGGAAATTTCAGCGAGGACGATAATGTTTTCAAGACACTTTGGTATGACCCAAATTACAAGGTGCATGATTTGTGCGAGAAATCGAACTCCGGAGGACAAACTGGCGAGCTGATATGGTGCGTTTGCTGTTTACTGTTTGCTTTTACGGAGATCAGTAGTGGCCTTCTGCGGCTCGGCTAAACGTTGCCTTTCATCCAGAGTACCTGATGCTATTAATGAATTTTCCAATTATCTGATCCCTTTTAAAGCTTCGCTTCCAATACGTATAGAAAAGGGCAAAGAAGGCAATTGGTGAAAATCCTAATCGTATTAGAGCAACAGCCACAAGTCGTTGGAGCGTTTTTATCAGTTATCTGCAAACCCTTTCCAGGGTAACCCACCCAAACGAAACAAACGAACTCGTCCAAAACCGACCAACAAGAAAAGGTCCTCAACTTAGGGAATTTGATAGATTATTCCACTTTTTTCTGCCACTGGCGGACAAGAGAGCATACTCACCTAAATTCTTAAAGAAATCTTCCACGGACCATGGACCAGTGGGCGGGACCGGAAGTTTTTGTGACGAAATGCATGGTAGGTACGGATCCACGTGTCGAACGCACGAACGTGAACAGGATTCACTTCAAACCTTCCCATGAACGTGGATCCGTACCTACCATGCATTTCGTCGCAAAACCACTTCCGGTCCCGCCCACTGGTCCATGGTCCGTGGAAGATTCCTTTAACCAACAAAATTGTTGTACTCACTACCTTTAAATACCTTTCGTACCTCCCAGACAAAATTTGCTCCTACTCGCTGTACCTGAAGTGGTCGTTTGGCCCTGGTGCAGTTCGATCTGAGATTTGACCCCCAGACCATGCCCGTGGGAAGTGGCGCCACTCGCCACCACACCACCTCCGCCTCCAACTATCCCTACACCCTTGTTTGGAACATTGCCTATTCATATTCAGCTACGACCCAAATGCTACTTGACTTGGGTATGTGACTTCTAAGAGGAGATCTTCGACTTTGCTCGTTCTTTGCTTTTTTATTATAATATTTCTAAGGACGGAACCTGGGGATCGCCTTCTGAAGGTGATCGGCAATGGAGTGGTGAAGGATGGTTACAACATGTTCTTAGCACCCGGTCAAGCTCAAGGTGAGTACAGTAACCTTACGAAGTCTCTCGTACACTTCTGATTGCATATTTGACTTTTTTCTCTTTTTGACACTATTTTACTCCTCACTTCCCCTTTTTCCGAAAATTTTAACCAGGTTCCAGCATTGACCTGAGTGTACTTTGATCTCCTCACCTACTACCAGTACCATATTCGACTACCTTTAGCATGCGGAAGCGTAGTGTCCTCGCCAAACAATTAAGGCCCCAAATTCGCTAAAGACATGTAGTTAAAGAAATTCTGATACTTCGAAAACAAAAATATAATCGTTTTGCGTGCAAATGTCGCAACCGCATTCTGCGAAGGAATGAGTGCAGGGATGAGCGGTTATCTTTAAAGAAGAATTCGGCATTTCGCATACTGCCGCAGATCCAACAGGAGGCCCGTCGCGTGGCGAGAAGGCAGAGACGCAGACGGGACAGCGGACGAGTCGCAGCGCGTGCTATAGCAGTTCAGTGTCAAGTCTAATAGAATGTAGGATATGTCAAATACTAATAGTGTGTCAATATGTAGAATGTCAATGTGTCCGTTATTAATAGAATATACGATACGACGAATGTACGTCCCACATTGCACAGTTCACGGTGCGACCCGTCTGCTGATTCTCTGACTCTCTACCTTCCCGTCGCGAGACGAGCCTCCTGTCGTGTCCTCGCTACAGTTTTGAGGCAGCGCAGGTGGCT